AAAAAAAGAGACAGTATCAAAATTCTGCACTGGAATGGCAGAAGGGAGAGTACATCAGCTTGAAAAAAATTTAAGTAGAAATATTTTTACAAGCTGAAGTTCCTTCAAGAATTTCCTCACTGAGAAGGACTAAATGATTTCTAAAAACCCTGGCAGCTTTATCATACGAAGCAACATTCTATGATGATTAAATTTGTTACATAAAAGTAGTGAAATTAAAAAAAAAAACATTCTGGGGAACAACACTGTCTTAATTTCCTCTTTATCAATTGTGGGCTTGTGTAGGAACACATAACAGACGCACAACTGACACTTGCATAATTTCTCATTGCTTTTGTCCTCTACAAATTTCTAATGCCCCAAAACCCATACCCCGTTCAGTAATGTGTTAGGCATTTTAAATTTTCGGAGAACACGCTACGAGCACGTCTGCTTCGGCACTCTTGCTGTGGGGGCCAAGGCACCTGCAGCCGGGAGCCGCAGACAGCCCGGGAAAGGCAGCCCGTGCCATTCCAAGGAGAGGTCTGCGGAGCAGCTTTACATAAGAGAAAAATTAATTTTCTTTTTTAACATCTTTACTACCAAATAACTATAACCTAAGCAATGTTAAGAATACTTACGAATTGATTCCTTAGTACATTTATGAGACCATTAATTTTTGTTTTTTTTATTATTTTAAAGAGAATAAAAAAGTAATAGATAAGACATTAGAAATGATACAGAAAGGGCCAGCCAAATAGCTCAGCGGATTAGGGTTCTATCCCCTGCGTGCTGCGCCGGCCCCGCCCCCGGGGCTCACTGGGATGGCGATTGAGACGGCTTGGTGGTGCGCGCCTGTAATCCCAGCTCTTGGGAGGCTGTAAACAGGAGAATCACTGAGTCCGATCTAGTAATGAGACCCGAACCCTGTAAACCCTTCTCTAAAAGACAGGAAAAAAGGGAAAAAAAGCAAGTGATACAGAATTTCAAAGTAGTTGTTCAGATTACTAGATATAAGCATGTAAAATTTGGCCACTTTTTAAAGCAGTGGTAGATTCTGAATTTTGTA